TGAGGTCAAAAATCTAGGTCCACCTCAAAAAAATTTGCTCTTCAAGCCTTTCACTCTGGTTCTTGCTGAACTGCCCATTTGCAGGTGAACTAAGATGCGTGGTTCTTTGAAACCTATGTAGGATGTTCTTTCCCCTGATGGGCTGGCCACCTGTTAGAGTGTCTTAGAATTTATTATATTTAAAACTGATCTTTTTTTATTCCAACTATTTTAAAAGATGGTTTAGATGAGCAGCTGACTGCTTTTAATCAGTGGTTTGATATGCCTAACCTGTATTATCTTATCATTCATCTACTATTTGTATTTCAATATTAAAATTACCATAAAAATGGATTTAAATCTGTTTTCTTAGAGTATTTGATTTTGGTCGGATAGGCTTTTTTCAAGCTTTCATTGATCCCTAGAGCACCAATGACAATCAACAAAAAGCAAGGTGACTGTAGATCATGCTGTGAAATGCATCCTAGTTTAATTTAGGTAGTTTACATGACAAAAGCAGCGAGTACTTAGAAGAATTATTTTCATTGTTACTATTTTAGTGAAGGCAAAGATTTTTTTAGCATCTCGGGTCCGAGACACTGAAGGAAGAATGTCTTGCACTCAAAAGCTTGTCTAACTTTATTCCAGTTAGACAGTTGGTACAATAAAAGGTATCACTCTAAGAAACTCTCGCATAATTTCTGAACCATCACAACTACATCATTCATACACAAAGGAAGAGTCACTGGGCATGTCTACACATCGCTGTATGGTGATGTGTCTATGGAGCCATGCTTTAGCACTTCCTTTAGTACTTCCTTATGGGAAATTACTGCACCGTGTGCACAGCGCGCAGTTAGATTTCACCACTACAGTGACGTAGCTGGTGTAGACCCGAGTGATTGCTATGTCACAATAGTGCACTGTATGGCGACGTAGCACATCACTTCGTTGCTGTAAGGCGATATGTAGATGCACCCACTATTACCCTATTTTCTCCTTTTACCTGCACTCAACAGGTAATAACCATTTTCCACCTTTTACAACCTAGTTCAGATGTTAGCTTATTGAGTAATACATATTTTTCCCCTATTATTTAGGTCAAGCTGTGTCTACTTCTCCCCAAGACCTGAGGAGGTTTATGTCCAAAAAGTTTGTCAAACCTCCCTCCCAACTATCCAACTGATACATTACCAAGAAAAGAAATGAAAAAAAACACCCCAAAAACCCCTTAACCCTTGCCTGTCATATATTTCCTGGACCATCACAGGTAGGACAACATTCCAAACCCGCTACAACTTTACTTAAGTCAAGGATTCAGTAACCATAATAAAACATTCACTATATGCTAAACTCAAAGGGTATGCAATTTTTAAAGCTTATGAATACTGAGTTTGACTCTCCTGTCAGTCCTAGAAATGTAATTCAACAGTAACTCCATGAAAGTCAGCCAAGTTACACCACTGTAAATGAGAAGAGAATTAGGCTCATTGTTTCCACAGAAGTGCGGAGAGTAATTACACCACTATGTCTACGTATACTGTTATTAAGCCATCAGTAATTCCCAAGCATACTAAGCACTACAGTACAGGTAAATGTACATTTTTTTTGGTTTATTGATGGTAATGGAACAAAAATAGAAATACCTGAACAGAAATCAATTAATTTCCTCTGAATTCTGCTGCATAATATAGCAGAAAGCAGCTGAACAAATTACAAAAAGCATTTTTTAGTATTAGACCATCAATAACAAAGTATATTTACAAATGATCCCTTTATAATGCCTTTTCCGTATAGACTTATAAGGTTTTACAGCACATTATTCAGCATGGGCTTTTTGGTTTAGTAGGAATGACCTAGTCTCATTAAAGCAAGGGATCAAGCAACAGGTATTACCATGATTACTTCATCATGCTGCAACTGGCTAATGGGGTTAGGGGCAACTGTCAGGCTACTCCGTGTAAATTTTCTGGAAAATCTGGGTAGATGCAAGTGCTATAATGATATGCTAAACAATTTCAGATATAGCAGAGCAAAAACAGTGGCAACATATTAAAACATCTCAAATAAGGTGGTGTATTAGGAAATACTTTTTGTGAATGTCTATTGACCTCTTCCTAGTCCTTTTAAAATATCTCCTTCTGTTATCACTGCTAGAGTCAATCATATCTTCCTGTACACTCCCTCCTTTCCTCGATTTTCTACTGAACTATGTTCCCACGGTTTCCTCTTACCTTACTGACTCAACTTTCAAAATTTCCTTTAAGGCTCTATCTCCCCACCTACCTCCCCCCTTCATTGGAATCTCATGCACTTCCATTCGTGGCCACCTCCTTGTTTCCCTCTACTACATGCTCTCAAGTGTAGACTCATTCAAACCCACATGTTCAGATATTTCTTATGATACTGCCCTCTTCCCTTAGATTCTTTCCTTTTTTCATCTGTAGATTCAAATTGATTATCCGTGATTGACTACAGATTTTGTATTAATACTTCTGTGTCAACTGCGTTCGTGTTGTTATAATGTTGACTCAGTTTACCTCATTATTTTGTGCACAGAGAATGAAGGGTTAAGTGCAGGGATGGCTACATGCAGGAGAGGACAAAGTGGAGCTTTAGCATCAACAGAGCCCTGATGAGCTTTGTTGACATACCCAGGGCAGCCCCTGGGCTCCTGGTCTAAGCACAGCTCCCCCTCCAATCACTCCAGAGGCTGCTGCCATTAGAGTCTCTGGGCTCCCATTTCCTCCCTCCTCCTGTTTCTGCTGCCTGTCCCTGCCCCTGGGGGCAGGACAGCGTGGCATGGTCCATCGGGCTGAGGGAGTCCACAGCCAGGCAGCTACATAGGGATGGGACCCAGGACCCCTTCTTCTGATGCACTGGGGAAAGACAGGGAATTTCCTTCCTCTCCTCACGTTCCCTGCTGCCTGAGAGAATTTCAGGATGCATTCTGGCAGGGTAGGAGTGTCCCTGCTCCCTGCTAGGGGGGGGGGGGGGGGGGAAGGGTATAATTTCTTTTGTGCTTCTTGCTACTGGATAGGGGGAACAAATCTGGGGTGTAGATCTATTCTATGCTGGGGCAGGTATTTCCTTCTGTTCTTTTTCAGATAACTTTACAGTAAGATGGAGCAATACACCCTGGGATGCTGGAACATCATCAGATAGCTTTCATGCAATGTATTCCTTGCTACACATGCAAATTAAAGCTGGATAGAAACCAACTATAAAGATAGTACACATTTTCAAGCTCCAACTTTATAGCTGGTTGGACCTTTTTATGGCATGATTGGTATTCTGTATATGTAGCTGGTCTGTTAACTGCACAATGAACCAGTTAGTCGTGTAATAACTGTAACATGTAGAGGGCCCTAATTCCATCTCATCTTTTCTCCTAATCATTTTCTTTGTATACCCTTCATAATCCTTTTTTCATACAAGCCCCTGCATCTCCCATGACTTCTGATCATAGCCATAGAGATCTCTTACCTTTCAAATCCCTCCTTAAAGCATAATCTCTCTATATGGATTTAAGAAACAAGGTGTTTGCTCGGGCTTTGGTCTCCAGTATTATCCCCTGCCCAATTTGTTGTCTCTCTGTTCATATTGTATTTCTTTGAATAAGACTATAAAGGTCTTCAGGTGACCTCTGTATAGTTCCAAGTAGGTTTACAGCAGTATACAAAGAAGGTAGGAGGAGGATAAATATACATTCTAGATCAGTTAAATAGTAAGTCTCTCTACCTAGCCCAATGTATCTGTAATCTGAGCTATGCAGGCTGTGGATATTCAGAGGAATATTTCCATTATTCCAAAAAGGAACACTTCCATTTGGGGGAAGTATTAGCCCTTTGCTTAAGGATAAAATGTAAAAGCCATGAGCAGAAGTTGCAGAGCATTATTTAATTTAATTTTCTCTGCCCTGATAGTGGATCTCTCTTCTTTGTCCCCACCAGGTGCCATGTGGCCCACTGCACTGGATCCCAAAAGAAGAAAAGAAAAAACCCTGCTTAGAATAGTGATGTTGTTTTCTAAAAATTGATATTATGGACAAGGAAAAATTCTCTTCCAGAACTTCCAAGTAGATCCTAGCCACCAAATATTGATTTTTTGTTAGGGAGAAAGTCTTTCTTCTCCTGCCAAAGAAGACACCATTAATATTGGACAGAGAGAAAATATATTATGGAAGGATGTAAAACCTAATATTCCCAGTCAACTAAACATCAATCATATAGCAGTTGACCCAGCTCCATTTCAGCTCCACTTCAGGAAGTACATATGCCCCATAAACAGCCTCTGACCAAGACAAAGACAGGAATAATGGACTTTGGAAAGGGCAAGTTGTGAACAGAAAATATTTGATATGATAGATTATTTGGCTAATGACCTGTCTGTGGGCTACCTTGCATGCCTGACTGTCAAACAGCTCTCCCAAGATCCAACTTGTCTTTCTTTAAAAATCTTACTAACATATTCACTTAAAAACCCAGTAAAAAATAAGACATAAACAAAGTATATTTAAATACATTTAAGCAATATAATAATATTTGCACTGTTTTCTGTAACAAATTGAACATTTTATATGCATTCTGTTTACATTTTAAAAGTTTCCTGATGTTTATAGAACCTCCCATATTCTGAATATATGTATTTAAGTGTTCTCCTTTATCTGTAAATAATTCTCTCTTAAACCACAGTAAATATATTTTTAGAATGCAATCTCCACGAGAGAGACGAGTTGCCAAGTACATATTTATATCTCTTTTGAAAAAAACATGCAAGTACACATTTATGAATATACATTATATATTTAAATTGTATTTTTATTATACAAACAGAAGGTGCATTTAATGCCTCCTCACAAGGGCCTTTCCCATAATCCTTTTGCTAGAGATATACATACAAGAGGTTATTTTATTACACTCCCTTTTGACTTTAGTGGGTGATAGGTGACCATTATTAATTAACTGTATGGTATTATTTTAGGTATTAAATATGTACATGCATATTATATTCCAAAGTACCTTTGACTACCAGTTCTGCATAGTTGGATACTCCCACTCCTCCTTCTGTGCGAATCATGCAGCGGTAATTGCCAGCATCCTGTTTTGTGGCATTTACCACATTAAAAGAAGCTACAAATCGACGAATGTTAGACACCTTAATTTCCTTCAAAGGTGCATCTCTCACACTCATTCCCTAGGAAAAGAAAAGAAAAGTAAATTTATTGTTTAAATAAAAATTTAGAAAAATAACTTTATTTCTTCAAGTCTATCGAGTCTTCAAGTCTAGCTGTACTTCTTCAAGCTAAAGGGAAAGTGATGGGGGAGGAAGGAAAAGCATAAATCCATACCATAAAATTTACTGATATTTCCAGTGTTAAGAGTTTTATTCCATCCCACTAAGTAAAAACATTCATCATCAGTGGGCAACCATTCATCTGGAACAGCTGGCAGAGCTCTTCTCAACCCCTTTAACTGATGCACACATTTAAGAGCAATTCAGCATTTATTTGCTTGGTTTAATTTTTATTCAAATATCAAAGGATTTCCATTTTTGCTAATGGGACAACACAACTAAGTATGACTAACATCTCATGAGCTGGTTAGCCATATTAGTCTGAAGACAGGCAGAAGGTAAAGCAGAAGAAAACCTTAGAGTAACTAGGTCAGACAGACATGAGTTCTTGTGGGTAGCCACCTAACCTGACACTACAAAAAGGACGGGCAGAAAGAGAGGGTTTTTATAAAGAAGGGAAAGGGAACTGATTTCAAATTCATGATGCCATTCATTCATTTACTTACGGATCACCCTACCTGTCCAGTGTAGAGGACAGAGGGACACTGCAAACAGGTGATGGTATAGATGACATTGGTGGTGAAAGAGGTGAATGAACCCCAATCCTCCCACTTAGGGGAGGGGGTACTGCTAAGAGAGGTAAAGAGTGAGTTGATAGGATCAACTGAGATGAACAAGACAATTAACACCTTGAGGCACTGGGGTTCATTGAACTCTTCCTCCACCAATGTCACATACATCTGCTGTCCACATTGGACAGATGGGATAATCTCTACATGAATGAATGAATAGATACTGATTCAAAATCAATTAAAAAACCCAACAAAAGCCCATGGCAGAACACTTAACTGTTCTAGTTATTCCATTGATGACCTCGGAGGAGGTGTCATTAAACAAAAGAATTCTAGAACCAACCTGAATGTGAAATTGCAGAACAAGAAATCTTCCACTGACTGGACTGTGTTAAACATGGACAATAGATTCTTATCTGATTACCTGAACTAGCTGTTAACTCCAGTGTCCCTCAAGGTCTTAACTGCCTTGGTTCATCTCAATTGATCATACCAACTCACTTTTTCTCTTAGCAGTGTCTCTTTCCCCTGTCCCTTTCTCTTCTCTATAAACCATCTCTTTCTGCCAGTTCTCTTTTAACATGTGATGAAGTAGGTTGCTGCCTAAAAAAGCTAACATCTTTCTGAACTAGGAAATCTCTAAGGTGCCACCTTGCCTTTCTTCTGCCATAAGCAGATTTCAGGACTGACTGTGGAAGAAACTACATCTATTATACTTGTAATAAACCAGCAGGGAATCTTCAAGGACCTTTAGTGACTGGGAATTTTTCAGCGCCAAGATTACTGTTGTTGGAAAAAGTGAATTCATCAACAGAAGTGTTAATAAAAAAGTATCTGTTTTGACAAAAATGTAGCATTGTCAAGAAATCTCTCTCACCACTGAAAAATTCAGAAGAAACTCTGAGGACAGGCTTGCAGAGTTTCAAGCTCCCAAAGCCATTTTTTTCTGCAAATAGGTATACATAATTTAAATAGTATTTGTTCACATTTTTGTTAGTCTTCTGCCCTTATTTTAGAAGGCTGAGGAGGCCCTGTTTACTTATTTTAGAAGGCAGAGGCGTGCCCTGCTTAACTGGTACAAACTGCCCAAAAGAGCTGGTTGATCCTGTCCGTTTTTCTATGCTAGGAATTTTTAGTTCGTACTGCAGAATTTAAGACGTATTAAGAAAATGCTGATATCAGTTTGTTAATTTAGTTGTCAACATATTGAAAGTAAGTTTAAAATGCTGTTTATAGCCATGGAAAGCCACAAATAATGGACACATTAAATTGGATTTTGTATATAATGCACAAAACAAAAGTCAATGTTAATCACACAATTCATGCCAAAGTAGTAGGGTATTAAACAGTAAATAATGATTTTTGTTATTTTAATAAGTACAGTAATGTATAGCCATTTCCCTTTCAAACATAATTTTTTGTAATAGCCTGCTTATTTAATAAATGATACTTTGTAAAATCCCTGAAGCAGAAAACAGTGCTGGAACTTTGTTCAAAGTCCCTCTTTTTGAGCATTCTTGACCCCCTTTCTACAATTCCTAGAAATCTATGATTCAGATAACTTGGTTTCTCTACTAGAAAGAGATTAATCAGTTACAGTAAAAAGATGTTGAAAATGACTTACTAAACCACCATTTTAGTCCCTTTGTCAATCACAGTTGTGATGTCATTCTAGCAGATAGACCAAGCAGCTAGCTGATCCGACCAATTAAGATTTATGAAAATGAATAGCTTTTGACAGCAATACCCATGTCATTTTTAAAACAGGAGCCACTTAGGCCTCATTATAAATTTACTTAGCAACCATATCTCCCACTGATATGGAATCCTATTTAAATACAGCACCTATGTATTACTTATATAAATATCGCACACACACGCACACACACTTTCTAACCAAAAAGCGAATATGAAAATGTAACTTAGTTACAAATCAGAGGCAACTACAAGATCACGTCTTGTGGATGGCATGCGGTTTTTAAATTGTAAAGTAACAATGGAAGTAAAACAGGTAGTATAGTCAGGGTATATTTAAACTACAGAGTGCCAGGTAGCATACCTGAGTTTGTTTCAGTAATGAAAATAGTCCGTCTATAGCAGCATGAAGCGAGGTATGGGATAGTTTACCCATCTGAGAATCAGGGTAAATTAGACCACATGGACCTCAGTAGGATTGTGCGAAGCTTCAGTAGCCGATTCGATTTGGCAGAGATTTGGCTCGATTTGGCAGCAGAATCTCCAAAAATGAATCAAATCAGGAGACCCTTTAATCTTTTTTAATTGAATCGGAACCCTCCAGATCGATTTGGAGAGATTTGATGATTCGGACATAGACACAGCTTTATTGTTTTTTCTACATACCTCAAGGTACCAGGTAGCTTGTGAATGCTGAGATGATGGGGCAGATGGAGTATCCCACGGGAGCACGCAGGGGTCCCTAGCGTGCTTGGCGGTGGACCCTGAAGTGGACCAGAAGCACTTCTGGTCCACCACGGAGCGCGCAGGGGACCCCACCCCCCCGGCTCAGAGACTAGTACCTCCTGGGAGGCACCCAGGGTCCCTCTGTGGCTGATCATCAATCCAGGGGGTCTGGGGGGCCCCCCATGCACTTGGCAGTGGATCTGGAAGTAGACTGGAAATACTTTGGTGCTCCGGTGAGATGCTCCATCTGCCCCACCATCTCAACATTCATGAGCCACGCCTGGTACCTCGATGCATGTAGGAAAAACATTTAAAGCTGTGTCTATGGCCGAATCGCTGATTCTCTGAATCAGCATTGAATCTTCAGATCTGGATTTGGCTGAATCAAATAAGGACAGTGATCCGAATCAATGAATCGAATCACTATCCCCTGATTCGGGCTGAATCCAAATCGAATATAGCCGGTTTCGCACACCCCTAGAGCTCAGTACATTCCTACTATTCTGCCTGCAATACCCAAATTATCTGGTTCAAATACTAGCTCAGGTATCTCTAAGCTATGCTGCAGCCTTCAGGGTGTACAGACTGGAACTTTAATTTAAGTGTATATCTTGAATTCAAAAATATTGTGTCTGTTTCCAAAAGAACTGCAACACTATTAAAACATATGTAAAATTAGTTCTAGGCAACACAGGCATGTCTACACATTCATTAATGCATCTTAGAAACTGCGCATTTTAGTACTTCCTTAATAAAGTACTAACTAAATGTACAGTACCTAGAATTACCATGCAGTAGTGCTAGCACACAGTTATTTAATGATGCTTACTACACTTTAGCCTAATAACACTGAGCAGTAGTTTATTAGCACGTTTTTTGCCATGACACACTACTGAGCAGTAAGCATCTCATGTAGACGCACCCACAGTGCAGTTTCTCCATGACATAACAATATGATCAGTTTGACCTGCAGGAGAAACAGTGAAGAGAGGACAACTCTAATCTTGCAGGAAAACAACAGATTATATTTACTCCCTGACCTGTAGTTACCAAGAGTAGAAAAGAAATAGAAAGTTTTGTGACAGTGCAGAAGAGAGGGAAGAGGTCAAAAAAAACTCCCAACCTCTCTCCTTTCACCCTCCTAAAGGAACAAGACACAGTCATATTTCCTGTGTGGTGGAGCTCCTGCTAATCTACCTGACAGGGCACTGGAACAATGAGAGTCAGTGATATGACTTTAGACTGTATTTGCACACATCAATCTGGGGAGGTGGCTAGGCACACAAGAGAAGGCTAGGGCAGTGGTGCTCAACCTCTTTCCGTGGCAGCCAGGATGGGTAGTGCCCAGTTCAGACAGGGGCCACATGTGGCCAGTGGCCCTGATCCTGCAGCTGAAGCAGGTACAGTGGGGCCCCATCCAGCCACGTGGAGGCTGCAGTGGGGATTTTGGCCTGATCCAGCCTCATGGGGGAAGGGGGCATGGCCCAGCCTGCATCCAGCCCTGCAGGGACAAGGGGTCATGGCCCAGCCCTAACCC